TTGTACAAAAAAAAAAGAGATTAATGTTTTTTATTATTGCAGAAAAATTAGGATTACTGTCTAAAATTGACAGGACAAATTTGAAAGTTAAATCAATGATGCATATTCCCATACAAAAATAATACTACACGATAAAAAAAAAAGTTAAACATAAATTAAAGCGTAGTATACATATATCTATATTTTCATATAAAAATGCTATATAGTATATAAAAAAATATATAACATAAATAAAATGCATCATATCAAAATGATATACTTTTTTTTTTATAAAAATAACATAAATAAAACTGTAAAATAATATAAATAAAAGAGTAAATATTACAATTTTGTCTAAAAAATAAAAATAAAATAAAACCTTCGATTAATTGAGGTGTCCAATTTTGTTGATTGATGCTTGCCACTTTATTTTGCTAATCACTTTAGTTAGATTTAATTAAGAGTTTATAAATACAATGAAGATCTTACCAAAGCTATGTCATTTAAACATGGTTCATTAAGTATCATTAATATTGTTATGTAACTTCTAAAATCATAATTAATGTGACACATTGATAATTAATGTAACTTCTAAATATTCTTTCTTCTTTATTAAACCCCACATAATTAGTGACAATATTGAATTCAACCATAATAATGAGAATCGAAAGTTAAAACGCTCACACAAAGAACCCTATCCTGGCCCGAAAAGGATTGAATAACATGACAAGCACATGAGCTATATAGTCTGGACTATTTTCTGGAAATTGCAAAACGTGTGTTTTTGTGTGAAGTTAGAAACTGGAAATAAGCAAACCCTTGAAAGTTGCTGATTTTTGAAAAAAAAAAAATGTTTATTTTATATATTTATTAGTGTATTTTTATATTTTTTTATGGTCTATCTTCAAAATATTAGATTATTTTCGTGGGTAATGTTGCACTAAACGCAATTTCAATCGGCGCAGTATTGAGGTCAAAAATTCAAAATTGGTCCTATAATTTGGTCACTGTCCAAAAAATCACTCCTATATTGACCACTTTCAATTTAGATCCTATAATTTGTCGATTTCATCAATTTTGGTCATTTTTTATCCGTACCCCGGATTAAAAAGAGACGTGGCATGAAAAAAGGACCAAAATTGACACGTCATGCCACATCACCGACAAATTATAGGACCTAAATTGAAAGTGGTCAATATAGGGGTGGTTTTTGGATGATGACCAAGTTATAGGACCAATTTTAAAATTTTGCTCGGAGATACCTATAACTGACCGAATATATGCCACATAATGTGGATTGTGGACCGAAAATTGATGATAGAACAGAATAAAAGCGAAATATTGACACTGTCTATCTCTTTGTTTAGACAGTTTATATAATCACCCACGTTTATTATTTAGACAGAATGACTTATTTTTGTTTTCAATTATACCTTTTTTTGTGGGCGGTTATGAGTTTTAATGAATTTGACTTCTTCTTTTTTTTTTTTTTAATTGATATGATAATCTTATCAATCCATATATATCTCCTCTCTCTCTGTTTTTATTCACGCTGGCACACCCAGAAACTGTTCATTCTCTACCTTTCCGTCTGTTCGATTTCTTCTCGCCGATCATAGAATCGCCACATGACCAAAATCATACACAACGCATCACACAATTGATTTCAATGACTCGCGCGTGAAGCCGTCAAATTCCGACAAGCTCAGAATATTCCCCCATTTTTCACCGGCGAATTGCTCTGGCCCCTTGAATAATCTGCACTTTTGGTCCATTTTGCCGCACAACTCTTTAATTCAGGTTTTTCGAGCGAGAAAAAGGAAAAATTGTTTTATTTTTTAATTTTTTGTGAGTTGATTTTGTGAGTTGATTTATACATAGTTGAAAAATATAACGTAGATAAATATAATTTATATGAAGATTGAGTGTGCAATGGCCAAATTAAAGTTATTTTCATGTTATTTTCATGTTGTTTTAAAGTTGTTTTCATGTTGCTTTTTTAATGTTATTATGCTATTGTTTGTGTTATTCGATATCCTGCTTCTTTTTTTTTACTAAATAATGATTGTTTCTGTTATTCACTATCTTGCTTCTTTTTTGATTAAATGAGTCTTACTTGTTGCTGATTTTTTTATTGGTTCACACCTTATGGTAACTTTTTTTTATTGATTATGTGAAAATTTCTCATGATTTTGTGAATTTTTTTTTTTTGGAATGCATTTTAGTAGATAGAAATAGAACAAAGTTATGTTTTCATTTGT